AGACATTCCATCGTTATTACATCGAATATAAAATATCGAATATAAAAATGTTTCTTTTTTTTACTGTACCCGCCAATAATTATGTTTATATCCAATCATGTTCAACATTGATAATGACCTGAATGTGGCTCGAAACGTTTGTAACGCTTTTCACTTGTAATTATATGTTAATATATTTTTAATTTTTAATTTTAATTCTAAATTTATTGTATCTGGCTCGTAATCCTTTAATACAATAATTTATATATATATAATATATAGAGAGAGATTTTTTTTTATTAGATATATATAAATTTAAAAAAATTAAAAAATACATACCAGCTGGCAGAAATACTGCTGTTGTTCCTTATTGAAGATTGGAGGCAGACTGGGACTTCTGTGTCTGACTTGCGAGGTCTCCACCTGGTCTCGAAGATTAATTAAACTGCCACCGTTATAATCAAGGCACTTGAGATTGTTGCCATTCCCAGAATTTTCCGTCGCTAGACTTTTTAGACTGATGGTGCTTCCGTAATGTCCGGCTGTACGGAAGGGTTGTACGGGAGATCCATCCTTTAATTCCTCTAAGGACAATCTGGCTTCGTTCGAGTAAGTGCTGCATCAGAGATTTCTTGTTTTAAGTTCCATAGGGGGGGGGATTGAAAATTTTAATGTTTTTTATGTTAACAAAATAAATGATTTTTGAGAATTATTGTTTACTATAATATGTACACGGAGAGAATTTTCTCTTGGAATTTATCCTAAAAATTGTGATAATCATGGGACAATATGATATTTCAAAGAATTTTATGTGATTCTTTCTATTGATATTTTCACAATAAAGTAAACATGGCATTCAGTGGAGTAACAAAAATATACTCCACCTAGGGCTGTGCTCAGATTCCCACCTGAATTCCATTCAGATGTCATTTTATCTTTGTTGATCATCGAATGTTAAACAAGGATAACATGATATCTAGGAAGCACTTGGGATTTGGGTGGGAATCTAAACGCACCCCAAACGTGAACATATGTACAACCTATTCAGCAAAATCTATAAATTAAATATAATATTTAGAATCATTGACCAAAAAAATTATCGACTCAGAGAAAAATCGAACTCATAAACATTGACCACTTAATCGATTTTTCAAAAAAGAAAGTACTTGATTATCGCTTTATCGATTATTTTTGCCCATACCTAATGATCTATATTAAAATGTAACGTGTAAATTTTATAAAGCGCTTTGTAAATATTTTGCATTAAAACAATTTATAATGTGCTTGGTAATTTTTATTACGTAGTTCATAAAACTTTTTTTGTGTATTTCAAAAATTCCTTTACAATAATATTTAATAGGTTGCTAAATTGTCCCACGTTTATCACTAAATATAGTAAACTTTATAGCGAATTTTGCGTAAAATGTAATGAAGAACTCTCTTCGTGTAGGTATATACATATGTGAATAATCTATTTTATTGTGCTGTATAAAATGATTAAGGTTTCATTAAAATTCTAATTTATAACGATAATATAATAATTTTTAATAATTATATTTACCGGATGTGAGTACGGTTGTAATTGCTATTTGACTTCAATGTTCCCCAATTAACCCCCAGACGAGCCATTTCTTCTATAATTATAATTGATAAAAGATTGTAATAATTAAATATTAACAAATTTTATTATTTGTTATGTGAAGTATTTATTAGGTACTATTATTTATAATAATTTAATATTAAAATAAAGAACTTAATAAGGACAAAATTCAAAAAATTTAGGAAACTATAACAAATGATAGTATGGCGCGGTACTTGATGCGCAAAATCAACATATAGTTAATAAAAATTAAACATAAATATATTTAGCTTGCTTCAAAAACTCGAACGTTTCGGTCACATTTGGGGCCATTCTCGGCGATATAAATAGTTTAAAAATTGAATTGAAAGATTTTTAAGCAAACGTTTGACGTCAGAAATGATTTAAGAAAGATATGTAAACAAGAAAAACAATGAATCCAAATAGATCGACTCATTAGGAAAGGAAAGGGATAGCTAAGGAGGGGTGCAAAATGAATAGTCCTCTAATATTTTATTTTAATCGTGAATGAAGGGAAATAAATTTAAAAAACGTGTAATACATCAGTAATATTTCTGCGATATTATATTGTTATATGTAATATTTCTGGTATGTTGCAATATTATTGCAATATTACTGTGACATTATGTGCTATGTGGGATCCTTTTAGGGAATTATGAGGCCTATGGAGATATTGGAGATACATTTCTCTCCTAGTTCCGTTTGAATTCAGGGGGGTGGAGCCAAAAATGGCCCTTATTGCAACCCCTGCTTTACGCAAAAATATCATTATATATTAGGCATCAAGATTTGTTTTGACCGAAAAGTTTTCAATTCTTCATTTATTTGTATTTATTTATTTACGTATTGGTCAATTTTCTATTTACTTTCATAAAAGAAATAATTCTATACACACTAATTGGTTCATGTATCGATATCTTCACTTATTTCATATTAAATAAATTAAAGTAAATGTTATATTGTTATAAAAAAATAAAAATGTAATTTAATATAACACAAAATATAAATATTTTTCGAAATTTTAAAAATTATCTAGAATTCTATTGACTTTAGTAAATACTCTGTCATAAATTTCGTAGCAATTGTAAGCAATTGTTAGTTGTTAGTTTACTTACCCCTTTCTCTCGCCCACTGGAGTCTTTTTTGTTCCATCAGCGATGTCCTTCCGATCATCCTCGTACACGATTTTTACGGAAAGATGTAATGAATAAACGCGCCAGCGACAATGGACGATCGAAAAAGGCGAAAGAGGATCCTAAGCTAAATTCCTTAAACTAAAACCACAATCATTGATATTCTCGACTGCCTACCTACTCGGGGATCAGCAACGGTCAGCGGAAATTTCCATTAGCAATACTTGGAATCACTCGAAACTTCCCGTGTCGTTTGTTTAGCAAATCATGTAAATTCCTATGAATTCGTTCGCACACTTCCGCGACTCGAATCTTTATCATGAAACTTTAATACAAATCATATTGTGATGTCTTGAAGTACATCTTCATACCTGAAGGAGTCAACATTAAAGCTACCCGTAAAAAAGGTGTATTATGTAAATTCTGAAGTTTTAACGTCAATTTCTATTGTTTTTTTTTTTAATAAAATAAATTTTGTCGCACTAAAATATGATTTGAAAAATTTCGATCAAATTCTTATTGTCAAACATCAAGATTGTCATTTATTAATTAAATTTGTCGGAATTATATAATTCCGTCATAGAAAATTTTATTATTGAATTATTTAAAATCTACTATAATTTAACTAATATTTTAGAAAATAATCCCATTTTACTCTTTATAATTTTTTAAAAATGAAATTCTATTGATATCGAATAAAATCGAGGTCTACTTCGCGTAGCATTTTTGCACACCTTTTGGCTGATCGGAAATCGCCCCGATGATGAATCTAGATCCAGTTTCCACTATCAATCGATTTCCTACTATGCGGAACATTTCATTGTCACGAATATTTTTGCAAATGGAATCTCGAGAGCGTTTCTCGTCAATAGTTAAAAGACAATCCGGAATTCCTCCGACGATGAAATCTCGTTCTCTGGCACATAGCTGTTCTCCGGACTCGTAGTTTTGCGGCCTTTCGCCGCGTCAATGTTTGTACTACTGCGGGGACCATGCGTGATAGCGGGTATCGAAGAAGTCCAAGAAACGGGGGTGCGAATTCGATCGCAGGTTTCCATAGGAACTGTCACGCGCGAGTCGCACTTCCTAGCACCGTATTCTCAGGATCGATAATATTGATCGTATCGTGATAAGGGATAATGACCTCCACTTTCGCGGTCAGAGATCACATTTCCGCGCCGGCAAGTCTCTCCCGTCATTGAAGCGTGATGACTTCTTACGCGGAAGACAAGTAAACCTAAAAAAAAAGTGAATTGAAGAAATGTTCATTGGACTTTAGAGGGGGAAAACACTGTAATGACTCGAAATATAAAGATATTTTTGGAAATTTTTTACAAAAAAAATAAGCAATGGATCTTTTTAAAACTTGAAGGGTATATTTATTAGATATATTTTTAAGTATAATAAAGTTTTTTTAATTTTGTATAAGACAAGTCAAAAATATTTATAAACTATCGATTGACATAGGGAAAAATTAATATCAAATAATAACAAAATGACGGGTTACTGGAAAAAATTTTGAAATTTTGCGTAAAAATGAGGTCTTTTACTATTAATAAAAATTAAAGGAAACGTTCAATTTAAAAAATCCTACATCGGATAATAGCCGTGAGTATATAGTTTATAAATATTCTTGGTTTTTTATTTCAGATGAACTGTACGACTGCATCATTGTCAACCACTTTTTCGCAGCGTCGGTAATTATGCACTGTAGGGATGAGCTCCGATGACCTTGATCTTGTGCATATGTTGTCAAGGTCATAATCCTGAGTGACTTCCGACAGGTTTTACTTGGCGATCAACTGTCGTTAAAAAGTTATTAACAAAAAAGCGACTCACCCCCCTCTCCCCTGCTAAGGGGCGCACGACTTTTGTGATTGTACTGTTGCACGTGGGTCTCGACTTTCCATGCGAAGCGACTCTCACCATCCCTCCCCCCTGCAAAGGGGTGCACGACTCCCAAACAGGGTCTGTGCTGTGCCCAAGAGTCTGCGGCCTTATCAGTTTCACTTGTGTGTAATGGAGACACTAATAGAACGTACTATACATGTGTAGACACACTACATGACATTTCATGTGTATAGCAGCTCACCTAAGCTCATTGGCTACGTTTACACCGTGCGCTTAGTCCGCGATCTATACGATAGATGTCTTTGTTTAACCTACAGGATAAATAAGGACATCTATCGTATAGGTCGCGGTCTAAATGCACGGTGTAAACGTAGCCAGAGTTTGGTTAGTAATCTCAGTTACTGCCATCTAGGAAGATTGGGGGTACTAAAGTTGGATTCAGTTCAAGGGATTGTACTCCCTGAATTCTATCAATATAGATCATTGTAGATTTTCTCTGATCTCAAGCAGATGCGTATTCTGATTCTGTCATTAAGTTATGTCGTTAGATCAGACAGTATGCGAAGGTAAAGCACATTAAGACGGTGACAAATGTCACGCTGTATTTAAAACCAGTTTACAGATAAACAATTTGTCACCAGACCAGTGTGTATCACTTATCTTCGATTAACGACTCTTGTCATTTTTAACCATTGTTCCGAATCGGAGCTCAAGAGACGATTCAAGTTCAATTGGCGTTAATGACATTCGATTCGATTTAAATGATTGAAATGAATGACTCGTCGGTTTTGAGGTTATCTCTGAAGCTGAATTGCTTCTCGCACTTTCAGATCTGAAAGCTTTCGAAAGACGACTCACTGAAGTTATCGCCAGCCTGCAACCAGCTACTACGCGATGGAGAAGTATGCTTCTTAAACCCTTTTTATGCGTGTTTACAGTGTGTTTATGATGGCAATGTGTATTTATAAAATGCTATAACATAATAGATAATAATTCTTTAAATTTTTTCTAGTTTCATTCTGATTATATATACTGAAAATTTAGCTTGTTAGAAGTTTATCATGCTCTCTTTAACTTGTTGATTATGATATATTAGTGATACAAATCTGGATATTCTTACAGTGTTGTTGGGTTTAATGTCTATTTGCACTGCCATTGGTGCTTGGCATTGGTTGACAGATCCCAATACGTCAGCAGTGTCCTTTACGCAGAGTTTATACAATCATCCATTCTTCACAATGGCTAGTATAATATTAGGTAGATATGGATGGACTCCCTACGCATTTTACACAAGTTGATGTAGCAATTGCATTTTGGAAATTATTTTCCAGTGATATTGTTTATGATGGGAGTGCATAGACGAGTAATAGCACCCAGTATTATAACTCAGCGGGCCAGAAGTGTGCTTGGTGATTTCAACATGAGTTGTGACGACACTGGAAAATTGATCCTGAAGCCTACGAGACCTCCTCATCCCCATGAGACTTAGAGTGTTTGCAGCAATAATAATTATGAATGTCAAGTGTTCTTTTTTGTGTGCTACAAGATTGTTCAAAATTCTGACGAGCTGAGAATTTATAGCTGTATATTTAAGCCTTATGAGTTCTAGTTAATTATGCATCTATAGTGAATTATCTCTTTTATAATACATATAACTTTTACGTATGCGAATACAATATGAAAGATGTCCAAGTACGTATTAAATCTTGGAATCACACAATTATTTCAAAACTTGAATTAATGCTATCTCTTATCTCATTATATTTTCCTAATTCGACAATCATGTAACTTTTTTCCTTCTAAGAAACATGAAAAATGAAATATTTATTATAATCTTTCCATAATAAAAAATTTCACTTTCATGTTTTTGCCTTAAGCCCATATCAGACTACCGACTCTGGCTGTTAACCAGCAATAATGGACCAAACATTGAATCAGTCTTATTATGATTGGTCCATTATTGATCGGCAGTCAGAGTTGGCAGTCGGATCGGCCTGCAGAGTCGGTAGTCTGATACGGGCTTTAAGCAAAAAATTACATAATTGCTATCCAGGAGATATATATTATAATTAAGAATAAGAGATTCGATTGAAATTCCATATAAATTGCGAATCCATCGAAAATTTCTGAAAATTTACCTGTGGAGTCGCACAAGATAAAGCTAAAAAATTCACAAAATCTTAGGAGATCACATTGAGAGATTGGGTGAGAGATAATAAACTAAAGAAGTAGGGACTAAAGTTCCCAAAACTACGATTCCAAAGCCACATGTATATAACGATCAAAACATTTATTCCGTAGTAATATTCCGCATTACAATATTCTTTTCCGATTTCAGTATGCACAATTACGCAATTTGTTTTTTTAAAATAGTCACATGTACATTATAATCTATGCAGACTATCGTTCGTTCGCAGTCAAATATTCATGAGAAATCTCTTGTCAGTCCTGAAATCGTACTAGACTACAGTATGTATTATATACAGTAATGGTTGCGCGATCTCAGAGTACTATCTTTAATATACATGTCGATGGACAATGATTGCATATTTGAAAAATATTTTATAAGACGTCTCTAATAATTGTACAGAAGTTCAATCAGTTCAATGCACAAAGTAAACACTTTTCAGAAATATGTGTATACATGCATGCACATCTTATCGTATTATTGGAAAGTCTCAGTTAGTCTCAATCTATGAATTTCGCGATAATTTTGCCAATGGGTTGTAAACTGAGTTTGCAAAATGGTTGTAAAATAGATTTTACTCTTAAGCATCTTATGCTTTTCGTAACAAGCACACAACAAATTTCGGTTATGTGGACGCCAATTACATGCAGATCTTATCCGAGGTAAAGAGATCGCTGATAGAATGCAAAATAAATCGTACATATTTTACGGAATATTTCAAGTTTTTTGGACATGCGTCGCGTTACATTGCAGGAACATTGTTATCTTGTATATACCTCCTCTTCTGTAACAATTTATTTCATAAAAATGAATTTACGTTAGCCTACTTAGATACTGTTATTTCGCGAAAAAGGGTTCAAAAAGGAGTTAGGCAATTCTCGTCACTTAAAGTACAAAACCGAGAATTACAATATACAATAGATTTTTCTTTACGTTCTTATCATCCTTGTATTTGTTCGTACTCATAAGAAGAATAGTATCGTGTAGTTATAAGAATTTTTTATTTATATGTATGTATAAATAAAAAATTCTTATTTTCTCATAAAAAAAGTTACGAACGTTACCTTCAATATTAACAGCCTCAATAACTTTCGTTTCATCCATTGGTATTTTCTCATTTCATATTTCACACAATATGCAGGGGATTCTTGTTATACATATATATGTATATACACACATATCAATATATACACATATACATATATCAAATTTATCAAATATTCCACCGTACAAAGTTAAAATTATAATCATCGATTACAAATTTGGTATCTCGTCGTCGTACAAATCTTTTATACTATGGATCTCTTGACGAATTTTCATCTACATCTGCACAAATCGAAGTGATAAACTATAATAAACGCCACTTGCCCAAGTGCGCATCCAAGTCTACACTAGTGCATGGAAAACAGATCACCAGCGGAAGGAAGAGGAGCCAGGCCGCCAGTCACGTCAGGCAGTTGCGTTAAATCCGGAAGATTCGAAATGTGAGACTTTACTTCCGACCGTACTGCACACACCTTCTTAAGTTTTTCTTTATAATCCTGTGCATAAAAAAAACAATAGTTCTGTATAGTATATATATAGACTAACAGCTTTAGCCATAAGGCCTGTCCAATTTTAGCTCCGGAATCAAAACGCAAAGCCATCGATGCAAAGACTTCAATGTGAGTAAGATTATGAGGATTGTGTTGATAAGTGTCGCTCAGATTTGCATATCAATACTTTACAGTTCCCAAAATCTGATCTATATTGATTTTTTTTTTGCATCAATGACTGCGTTTTGGCTTCAGAGCTGAAATTGGACAGGCCTGCCATAAATATAAAGGATCCTCAATTTATTGCATTTTCTTGGAAAAGGCGATAATAAAAGCCAAATAAAAATTTAAAAAGTATTAAAATTGTTACAAAAGTAAATATTTTTCAATAAAACTTTTTAATTTATTTTTCATTAGATATAGAACATTATCATTTTGTGGAGATACTTTTATGGTACATACATTATGTATCATGAAGTTTTATGGTATTTATATATATTTTACATTATGGCCAGAAGTGGAGAAACTTTATATTTATATTATGGCTGTCAATTTGTGTTAGATGTTATTCTTTCTAATAAAAAAAAGGCGATCATACTTCTAGAGTGCTTTGAGCCTGTTGAAGTAGTTGTCTTTGCGCCAGAGTGTAATCTCGTAGCATTGTCAGCAGTCTTCTCCTGTCTTCCATCTCAGCCTGCAATCGACCGTTGTAATCAGCGAGAAGAGCAGCAGCTTCATTGACTGCTGCACTCAATTGATCTGCAGCCGTTCGATCGGCGAGGTTCGCGAGCAGCGAAACTTCCGAGACTTCCGGTGGTAAAGATGCAATACGCTCCCTAACACCAGCATCCGAGGACGCAGTGTTTTCCAGATCCTGAAAAAAGCAGAAAGTTCCGTTAATCTACAGTAACGTTCTAACTATTCTAATAACTCGCCTGTGTGTCTCTAATAACTCTAGAACTCTATCGCTACATTTGGTACAATATACTTTGCCATATGAGGAAGAACAAGAATGTTTTTCAGCAAGAGATACAAATGACGCAGTGTAACACAATAGATTATTATTTTCTTGTTATTTGCCAATATTAAACAAAGATGAAATAATTTACTGTGTTACAATGTTCTATACAAGATGTTGTATGATTTTTTCGAGAATTTTTTGAACTAATATGCATTAGTGCAATAAGTTGGAGTGAAAGAAATATTTGTTTCATCCCACACTTATTGTATCAATGTATAGCTGTTCAGAAAATTCTTCAAAGAAAAATAGACTTTGTGTCTCTTAAAGAAAGCACTGTAAAACACAGCATGTTACTACAATGCGATTAATAAAAAAAATTGGTCAATTAAAAAACTTCTAAGAGCAGCAGAAAAAGTAATGTTTTTTGTACTGAAGCAAAGCATTGATTAATTACTAAAGAATCAGCATCGCTCGATGTACTTCGCAAAAAATGAAGCTTTCGAGGAACAAAAAAGAATATGCAAACGTATTCTATTTGAACTATAAAAGAAACAACATATCTAAACAAAGTATATAAAATCGATAGGGTGGATGTCAAGAGTTGTCAAAGCGTCTGCTGATATGCCTCATGGATTCAACATGTATTTTCACATGAACAAAATATTTTATTGCTAACGATACAAATTCCTTATTATGATTGTTGCTTGTATAATTGATATTAACCATTAAGGCCTTGATGAGTTCCTCGGTTTCTGGTGGATCGCCGCCGGGGGTTCTTGGGCTCAACGTTACATGAAGTTCTTTGGTGCCGTCCACTTCTACTTCGGTCTCCGACTTTTTTCTATCCTTCTCTTTCTGTAAAACATAACAGACATGTGCAGACTTCATACTTTTTGTTTATCGTATTTGATTTAGTTTGAAAACAAATAAAAAATGGAAATTTTATATATAAGTTATATTATTTATTATATCTTGTTACACAGATTTTTTAAATATAAATTCTGTTGCTTTCATATCACTATGCCTTCAAATGCACTTACATTATTTTTAAACAAAGTTTTAATTATATATTAGGAGCTCTCGATAAGAATATGTACCTTTATTTTTTCTACTTCAATTTTTGCTTTCTTTTTTAGCGGTGCTCCAGAATCCTTCTCAGATTCTGCAAAAGCTGTTTTAAATTCAGTTATCTGTGCCTTGTCATAAACCCCTCTCTCTTCCCATATCTGTAGTAACCTATTTAACCGCTCTCTCGTTTTTTCATCAAAACCTTTCATATGCTCGAAGGCTTTAGGCAAGACCGTCTCAAATTCCTTTCCAAACTCTGGTCCTTTTTTCTTACTATTTTGGATGACGTCATTTGCCAGATACATAAACGTCAACTTGCGATTGCCTTTCACTGTAAAAATGTATATAGGAAATATTATATTTGCACCGATAACTTTTGCATAAACAGTCAGAGACATAGACAAAAATTATAATTGTTCAAATAATAATTATATATAAAGATTATACAAATATTTCTATTGCTATAATGTATATATATAATAATTTGTTTCAACTATTTAATTGAATGTATCTTAAAGTATTCCAACTATTCGCTTATTTAGCTTATAATAAATTTAAATATTATCACCATCAAATTATTATGTACTTCTGTAACAAGTGATTAAGTATATCACTTTCCTGTTATAATTTTTATTCAAAGACTAAAAGGTGGTAGCACTATTAAATATATTTAAAAAATGCCATTTAATATTTACATATAGAAACTTGACAAGTGTGTAAACAGTATTTCTTCTTAATACATTCTTCTTTTATCAATGTTTTATGTCCATTTCTATCAAGCAGATTAATTTTAATTTCAATTTAATCTATTCTTTATTTTCTACTAATTCTAAGAATTAGAAGAAGATAAAGGAATAAATTAAATCAAGATGAAGTTAATCTAAATTGATAGAAATATACATTAAGGATCAATTAACAATGTTTTCAAGCAACACTCTCTGAAATTAATATCTATTCAAACCATGACTTGGAAAGCTGGTTCCAATGATTGGGCAAATATTTATTTTGGTAATTGTTGCATGAAAACGTTATTAATTAATCCTTTAAGATATCAATAAGGGAAGGATGTATTATAAGACATGTTTATTAAATTTCTATTCTTATTTAAATATTAAATGGTTACAATTGTAACAATATTCATGGCTCGTAATTTCCGTACGTCATATCGCACTTGACTAATTGATTTAAATTGATTTGTAACTTCAGAAATTCAGAAACGACATTCGCCTGAGACCAACGTGCGTCGCGGGGAAGTCCTTCCGCGTCGTCAGGCTTAGGAAGTTTCGATTTGGTGGATAGGACAATTGAAAACATTCCCGTAGGTCGCTCGTACCTTTGCACATTTCCTTGTACCAGATCTTCACGATGGTCGGATGATGTTTTCTGTGATGTATCAGCCAGAGCGAGAGCGTCTGGATGCTCTGCTGCGACGGATTCAGGTCCATCAACCGTTTGATCAAGGCGCTCTCCGTGAACCCCGTCATTGTGCATCGGCTACTGTCGGTGGCTTCGTTAACGACGCCTTCGGTTGAAGTCTTGATTACGGAATCGCGTCTCGTTTTCACCGTCGTCAGATTGTCAGATATACGAACGCACGCGTACACAAGTGCGAACAGTGCGGTTCGGTACAGTTCGGTGCAGACTGGTGCAGACCGGACAACAGCTGAATTAAGCCACCGACGAGATACTATTAAAGACCGACATCTTTAGGCCGGAATTAAGGCCATGGTACACACCTTCCGTAAAACCCAAGGCCGGTATTCATAGTCGGTTCTTATTTCAAAATCATCTTAAGTAATGTCTTAATACGTTAATGCGGCTCTCTGATTGGTTCATGACATCTTAAGGCTGAACTTGAGACGATCTTGAATATAAGAACTGACTGTGAATATCGGCCTAAGACACAATGCGACGGAATAGTGATAGCTAGAGATAGGAATAACACGATTTCAACCTATCAGGAACTATGTATTCCGATACATCCGATTTCTGATAGGTTGAAATCATGTTATTCCTATCGCTATTGCTATCGCTATTCCCATTGTGTCTTGGGCTTAACAGTAACCATAAAGGTAAATTTTCACGAGCTGCTTAAACAGGTTGTTTTAGGGACAAAAAGGATCACATGGTCAAAATTGACGAATATCAAGCGTCCATTTTAATCACGTTATCCTTTTTGTCGTTGAAACAGCCCGTTTGAGCAACTCGTGAAAATTTATCTTAAGACGTACCGTAAGAACCAGCCAATTAAAATTAAGAGTTCAAAAGAATTCTCGATTGTGATTGGCTGATTCTTATGCCTAATTCACACTGGACGCAGCAAGCGTCAAGCAGCGGAGCAGCAACCAACCAGCAAGACGATATTGTTTACTCCATTGTAAATATCGCCTCACTGTTTGGTTGCTGCTCCGCTGCTTGAAGCTGGTTCTACATTGATCGCATCGCAGCGTCGCAAGCGTGTCGCAAGCGTTGCAGTCCAATCAGGGTCGAGCTAGCTTGACGTTGATTGGACTGCAACGCTTGCGACACGCTTGCGACGCTGCGATGCGATCAATGTAGAACCAGCTTAACGCTTGCTGCGTCCAGTGTGAATTAGGCGTCTTATGGCGAATTACGTCTTAGAGTATATCCACACAAACTTGCATAGCCGCATAAACGTATGCATAAAGAAAATTATTCAATCGCATTTCTCCTATAAAGACGCACGTAAATTGTGATTCGATAATTTTCTTTATGCATACGTTTATGCGGCTATGAAAGTTTGTGTGGATATACCCTTATGGTCATGGTACGGTCCCATGATGTGGAATTGACGCAATGAGGAATTGGCGGAACGCTCGTGATTGGTTTAGAAAAGACATATCGACGGAGCGCAATTGATGGAATGCTTGTGATTGGACGGATATTGTTCCGTCAATTCCGCGTTGCGTATACGTTCCGCACCATGGGATTGCGCCATTACGGAAGGTGTGTGCCATGGCCTTTAGGTCGGAATCCATAGTTCTTTTTTATAGTGTTTTCGGCCCGATTGGGTTTGCATCAACCTGAATTGGATTAATCTTTCCTATTGGTTAACGTTACACGCTCTAGAAGATTGAGATTGAAGATTAAAAATTCAAATTTGACCAATCGAAACGAAAGGAGCTAAAATTTCTTTGTCCTTATCGGTCAAATTTCAATCTTCAATCTTTAACCTCAATCTTCAATGTGTAGTCAGATTCCGGCCTAATTCTGATTGGTTCCTCCATTAAGGGGGTCCTAAAGCCGTCTGTATTACCGACTAGAGACCCTTTACTCCGGATCTACAATAGAGTTTTAAGCTTTAAGCCATAAGAAATGGACGAATCATAGTCGATTATTCCTCTCGGATTCGACTATAATTGGTCAGTTTCTTACGGCTTAAGTCTTAAAACACCTATTGTAGATCCGGACTAAGTCCGGACTTAGTCGGAGAAAATTAATTATTTTCAAGTTACAAATATTACTGAAATATAAACAATATGACAAAATTGTATTAAAAAGATGCCTTCTAATAAAAAATAAGATTTTTTCTATCACACTTTTGTTATATTGTTTACTTTTTGGTATACCTTTATATAAATTGAATATGATTTATTTTTTAACATAATTTTTCCCCTTTTTTAGCTTTTGATGTAAATCCAAGAAATTTGGTTCGACATCATTTTTGTTTTCGAATTAGAAAGATTCGATTTGATTTGATTCGACATAAAAATTTAAAATTCGTTTTTATTCGTTTTCGAACATATTGTCTAAGATTCGATTCGATTTGATTCGTCCTCACAAATACTCGATTCGCTCACCTCTACAGACTTATTTATTTATAAATATTTTAGGTGTAAAAATAGCTAAATAATATGAATAAATTTTAAACTATTGTTATATGAATGTATAATAAACTAATAATAATAGTAATAATAAATAATTAAATAAACAAAATTAAGAGTATTTACAAAAAAATAGAGATTAAAACATTACTTTTGATATAATTTTTCAGCATAAACGTACAAATAACCGCTCAATCTGACGTCTCATGGATATTTGAGATAGAATAAAATCAACCAAAGGAGTCAACATTCAAAAACATGATTGAATTTGTTTATAAGCAATGTTATATTCATTCCATGTTACTTCCTAGTAGCTTCTATTAATTAAAGAAAAAAATTTGAACGTTTTGGAACCATTACTGTTCTTTTCTACAATTGCAATATGTAATTCGATACAGGTCTCAAAAAAGGATCATTTCTTCTATTTCCTTTTGCAGGAAATCATATAATACGCAATTTTATTTTCGTGTGTATTTTCTAATTATTTATCAATCAAATTGGCATGACCGATGGCGTGAGATAACTCAGGGAAAGATAGACGATTAGACCAATTTAGAACAATAATTTATTCGTATATAATTATCTTATTAGAGGCTATACATGCCTAATGGACAAGTTACTGTATATACAGTGCATACGATTTCCGAAACAATAATTTACTTCATACAGAACTATTATTATTATTATTATATGTCTAATGGACATGTTATTGCATCTGCTTTTAAATATATCGACAATCTTGTCGCTTACGCATCATATTAATACAAATTGATAGAATATTTATAATATATATTTTGTTATTTGCGTAATATTTACAAATTTTGTTCACGAAGATAGAGACTATCATCTCATCGAGTTCAGCACCTATTATAACAAATCAATTGTAATTAATCGTTAAGCAATCGTTTCACATATATGGAACAGAATTCGAAATTAACAAAACAATACCACAAAACGTTCAATATTAACGTTTAATATTAATATTAATCATATATATATATGATATATAACATATTATAAATATTATATATTTATTATATATTATATTTATATTTAAAAAATTTTTTATATTAACGTTTAATCTTACAAATGTAATATTATATGTATAAAAATAAAAGAAATGGAGAATTTAACAAATTTAAGATAATTTAATATCTTTTTTGTAACACTTCGATTTTCAAAACTTTTCTACAAAATTTCTATAAATATGTTGTAAATGAAAAGAATTTATCTCTCAAGACGGACTAAAATGTTTTGCGTTTATGAAGAAATTAAAAATCGATTTTGTGCATCAATTATATCTGGCATCCTAATAAACGTCAACGTATAGTAATATAACATTAATGTAATCATTCCATATACACATTCAACAATATAACTATTATGTATATAACATGTATTATATTTATATTGCTAAAGGTGTGAAATATTGATGTTATATTATTGTTGATATTTACTGGGATTTGGCACACATTGAATTTCTTCCTTTCAGTTTTTAAAGTTTAGATAATAACGTATTATAATATAAATTTAACAAGTTCAGCATTAATATATACATATGTATATATGTGTACATACATACATTTAAGGCGCGATTGCACCAACATGTTACTTTGACTTTAAACAAGGCTTAAAAGACTCTGTCTTTATCTCTCTCTCTCTTTCTCTCTCGACTTTAAAAAGAAAGAAAGTTTTAAATCCCGCTTAAAGTCAAAATAATGTTGGTGTCTATCAATCGGGTCTAAAACGTACATCATGATTGCTTTAACTTTGGCAGTTGATCAAGCTTCGCTAGAGCAGCCAAACATCTACCATTCATCGAAGTATTCATAAAAGAAAAAACAATTACAATTTACATGTTGTATTTCTACAATCATAAAAGTAAATAAAATTTACTTGAAACAATGTAAGATGAATTCCAACTATTTTCTCGAATTTAACGCAAATAAATCTATGATTTTTGAAAATGTAGACATTCAATGTCTACACATGAAATTGATATAAGAATCGGAGAAAAAAATGTTAAAAAAACAACCTTATATCATGTAACGAATTATATTGAAGTTTTATTATCGACATGTAAGAAATTAATCATCTGAAATAATTACAAGAACGGCAATTTTCCTCGATAATTCGATAAAACTTTTAATTAATATTGTATCGAATTTCATTAGGCCTGTTCGCAAGTTACTATTTACGAGGCTTCGTTATAAAAAATATCCGCCGTTTAAAACCTCACTTACAATAGTCATACGGAATGTGTTGCATGAGAATGTCGCAGAATATACTGTTTTGTAAAATACTGTTCTTAATCGTACGATTGCGACGCAGTCGCAAATTGCAAGAATTCATGTTATCTGGAATTGAGCCAACTTGAACTTTCTGCGACTGTGACAAGCGTGTCGCATAAGCTCAGCCAATCACAGCACAGCTAATTTGGCGGCAGAAGTTTGTTAAAGATCATCGACAATTTCCGTATGTTGCTAGTTGGTTTATGATGTATTTTCTTGCGATTGTCGTACATACTCATCTAGCGACATTTTCATGACATGCGATAAATTTTCCTGCGGCATTACTACTTACGATGTACGACACAGCCTACGCAATTATTGTAGACGAGGCTTAAAACGATGGTAGCAAACTTAATAATTGAATAACTAATTCTTAATAATCAATTAATCCTAAAATGGAACGAAACGTAATGCTGACTGAAGAAAGTCACGATTCCATCCTGCCGGATGTCGCCTCGTTGTCTACTTCTGTCTTCAGTTTCTGTTCGTTTCGTTCAGCCTCTTCGTGATGCCCCATCTGATCGTCCACGTTCACTTCCT